GTGTACCACCAGGGTTACAAACCAGGACATTTAGGGATATGTTAAAAAGAAAAGAAAAAGAATAATGGCAGAAAAAGACACATACATCAACAGTGTAAGACAAGATAGGAGTCAAAAGTTGTGAAATTAATTGAACATTATAATAAGCGGTGGAACAGGTTTTCTTTGTTATTTCACCTCAAGAAAAGCCCTCTTCCGCCATTTTGATATTTTGGGAAATGGTGTGGAATCCCTCCCTACAGAATGTGTTGCAAACACATTATTATAGCATGCATGATTGGCAGCATGCCCCTCACAAACTCAGCTTTCACTCTCCTCCACTTTGTGAAGAACATTCAAATGCTAGTCATGCTGGTACTGGTGTATACACTGATCAGCCACAACATTAAAGCCACTGACAGGTGAAGTGAATAGCATTGATTATATTGATACAATGGCACCTATCAAGTGGTGGGATATATTAGGCACCAAGTTAGTTCTTCAATTTCATGTGTTGGAAGCAGGAAATATGGACAAACAAAAAGATCTGAGTGACTTTGACAAAACTCAAATGGTGATGGCTAGAGTCAGAGCATCTCCAAAATGGCAAGTTTTATGGGATGTTCCCAGTATGCAGTGGTTAGTACCTACCAAAAATGGTGCAAGGAAAGGACAATTGATGAACTGGTGTCAGGGACACGAGGACCCAAGACTCATTGATGCATGTGAGGAATGAAGGCTAGCCCAAAGTGCTGAAAACCTCAATGCTGGCCAGGATAGAAAGGTGTCAGAACAGACAGTGCAATAAAGTTTGGTGTGTTTGGGGCTGTGTAGCTGCAGACCAGTCAGAGTGCCCATGATGATCCCTGTCCACTGCCGAAAGTGCCCACAATGGGGACAGGAGCACCAGAACTGAACCATGGAGCAATGGAAAAAAGTTGCCTTATCTGATGAATCACATTTTCTTTTTAGATCAGGTGGATGGCTGAGTGTGTGTGTATTGTTTACCTGGGGAAGAGATGGCAGCAGGATGCACTATAGGAAGAAGAGAGGCGTGCTGAAAACCTCAATGCTGGCCAGGATAGAAAGGTGTCAGAACAGACAGTGCAATAAAGTTTGGTGTGTTTGGGGCTGTGTAGCTGCAGACCAGTCAGCTGGGATACCTTGGGACCTGGCATTCATGCGGATGTTACCTTTACACATACCACCTACCTATAGATTGTTGGAGACCACATGCACCCCTTAATAGCAGTGGTGTTCCCTGATGGCAGTGGCCTCTTCCAGCAGGATAATGCACTGTGATACAGTGGACCCTTGACTTACAGATGGCTTGACTTATAGACTTTTTGAGTTACAGACTTCTCTAGTGTGTGTGTATTGTTTACCCGGGGGAGAGATGCAGCAGGATGCACTATTGGAAGAAGAGAAGCTGGCAGAGGCAGTGTTCTGCTCTGGGCAATGCTCTGCTGGGATACCTTGGACCTGGCATTCATGTGGAGGTTACCTTTACACATACCACCTACCAAGAGATTGTTGGAGACCACATGCACCCCTTAATGGCAATGGTGTTCCCTGATGGCAGTGGCCTCTTCCAGCAGGATAATGCACCGTGATACACTGCAAAAATTGTTCAGGAATGGTTTGAAGAACATGACAAAGAGTTCAAGGTGTTACCTTGGACTCCAAATTCCCCATAACTCAGTCTGACTGAGCATCTATGGGGTGTGCTGGAACACCAAATCCAATCCATGGAGGCCCCACCTCGCAGCTTGCAGAACTTACAGGATGCTAATGTCTTGGTGCCAGATACCACAGGACACATTCAGAGGTCTTGTGAAGTCCATGCCTCAGAGCTGTTTCGGCAGCACGAGGGGACCTACATGATGAGCTCTTGTGAAGTCCATGCCGCCATGCCTCAGAGTTGTTTCGGCAGCACGAGGGGACCTACATGATATCAGGCAGATGGTTTTAATGTTGTGGCTGATCAGTGTATATAAGCAGGCACCTCAGTTAGTCTAGTAAGCAGTATTCAATGAGCAAGTTCTTCCAGGTCTTCTCTACATCTCTTCTCTTTATAATTGTTTTAAGTTTTAAATTATTTTTTTCAGTTCATGTATTATCAGATATGGATTAGTGGTTGAAAACTGACACAGTAAAAAAAGCTGAAACAATGTGGATAGTGATCAATCAGGTGTTAGACCCATCTAACATCTGTGCAAAACAGTGGGGGGAACAGTCTTCAATTCTTCAAACAAGTAAAAAGAGAAAATATTGTGGCGAATACATGAAGTACGGATTTTTTTAATATATAGGAGATGAGGATTGTTCCGTGTTCCATTGTGTGCAGAAATATTATCCAATGGCAGCATGAAACCTTCTTTACTCTTGCAGCATTTACAAACAAAATACGCAAGCTATACAAACAAGGAATGGCAGATTTTACTTTGGACAGCCACAAGCAGGTGTCTCATCTGTTGCAGGCAACTGCATTTTGACTTCCTGGGACTGTTGCTGTGCTCCACTTGGAAATCAGCAAGTTAAAAGCGGAAAGGGAAGAAGATGAAAAGGGAAGCAAGAGAAGGGGTTTGGTGGGGTGGATAGGACTCCACCCCCGATGTATGTCCAAAGCTTAAAATAGGGGATGAGGCAAAAGGAGTGAAATAATGGGTGGGATTTTTCTAATTTTTCTGGCGAAGCTTTCATGTTATCACCAACTTAAACTTGACTAGCAGTTTAACATTGATTTAACTGTTAAAAAAATTTCCCCTCCAACTTAAACCTAAGTAAATTAGATTTTCGGTCTCAATGAACATTATTTTTTCCGACTAACATTCCATCTCGGGAGATAATATGGAAGATATCACTTCACTGCATATACAGAGTTCAGCTCTATTTAAGATCATGATTAACTGCTAATTTTAGTATCAAGTGCTTTCTTGATGCAATGAATTAACACTAAATTTTGGAATTAAGCACTTTCATCTCCAATAGTTAAGAACAAAGTGATCTCCCAAAGGGGTCTGAACTCAATTACTCAGGGGCCCTTTGAGCCCTCTAGTTCTCTGATTGCATTTATCAGTTGAACTAACTGAGGCTCTGACAGAACCAATCCTGATATATAACCGATCTAGTTATTTAAATTGGGGAATCAGTATTTTCACCACAAGATTTTGTGCTTCTAGCTCCTCCTATTTTGAAAATTTTGAAAATATTTATAATTCTATCTTTAACATTTCTGAAATCAAATGTATAAGCAAAATACCCAAATCTGTTTTGTGATCAATAAAGGCAACAGAAAGTGCCCAGGTGGATACAAATCTACATATATTTGTTGTAGATTTTTGGCACACTTCTCTCCTTCTAAGTTAAAGTTCCTCACAAAGTTAATACAGCTTGGTTTGTTTTCCAGATTGATGATAACCAGCCATTGGAATATTTATCAGAGCTTCGTCCTGTTACCACTGTTTTTGTGAATTTGCAGTTTGATGCAAGTGCTAACACTGATCACTTGTGTAAGACTATCCAAGCTGCCAACATGGAGATCACAAGAGTCATACACTCACTCAGTGGCAAGATGAATAAAGTCTTCATGTTTGACAAAGTGAGTATCCTGCAGGGCAATCTCCTGTTCTAGTGGAAAACTGGAAAGTGCAACCAAAGTCAGTGTAGCCCGCAGGTCATCAGGTGCATAGGCAGTGCACTATAAGACTGGGTAGAAAATAAGGCTGGAGAAAAGACATATTGAAAAGAACTTGAAAAGTCAATTCCATCAGTAGTCCAGAGTCAGCTGCAAGCCTAAATAGCCCGGGTTATGTTTTAACCTCGCCTTTATGTAACACAGTTACGGAGTCAAGATTATATATTAGATATTGTACTAAGATAAACTCTTCCCTGTGTGTATGTTTTATTTATACACACAGGGAAGTGTTTATCTTAATACAATATCTAATATATAATCTTGACTCCATAACTGTGTTACAATACTAAATCTTTAACCTATGTTATAGTCTCTACTCATGTTTATTTCTGGGCTCAATCATAAAACATTTTTCAGTTTACTTTAACATAACTTCTCAAATTCTCGGATAACATCTCTAACAAGCTATCCCATTTTAAGCCCAGATCGACCTTGTATCTATAAATCTTTATAACCACATATGCTTACTATATGTGGTTTACTAAAGATATATATATCTTTCAAATCAACAATTTCTGATATTATATTCAACATTTCTAGCATTTCTAATTTGAAGGTTATAGTTATGTAATTTCTTATGCAGTATATTTTTTTATCTATCTCCAAAATCATTTTATTTTGTCACTTATCCACCACCTATACAAAAAATTGGATCATGCAAGCTGGACATGTTTGAGAAAGATTTCTCAGCTTCCTCTTGGATTTGAGTGTTTGCATTGAATGTACTCTGTACTGATTGCAATTTTGTCAATATTTAAAGTGATATAGCACTTTAAGAATATGTAGTTACTGTGAAATAATTCATACGCACGGGTTTTTATTTATTTTATTTTATTTTATTTTTATACCACCCACCTGGCAGCCAAGGCCACACTGGGCGGTTTAAAACTAAATGACAACAATAACATAATGAAAGGGAGCTCAACAACATCCATTAAAATATAAAAGGTACAAAATAAATTGCAATAAAAATACACAATAGAACATAATAAATAAAACAAAGTGAGAAACATGGCGGTAGGTTAGATGTTAAGTTATTGGAGGCATTATTGCATCAAGGTGTTTTAGATCCGAGAAGGCCTGTCTTAAAAACCAGGTGTTTAATGGTTTTTTAAAGGTTCCTAACGAAGGAGCCAGGCAAATTTCAGGTGGGAAACTGTTCCATAGTTGCAGAGCTACCACCGAGAAGGCCCGTTTTCCAGTGGCCGTTTTTTGGTTTTTCTTTCGTTACTTGGGCATGAAATAATAACAGAGGGGTTCCAGCGCAAGCTGCAAGTGGTTCAGAGGAAGAGACCTCTTGTTTATGCCAGCGATGGCAAAACACTTCTCAACATCCCAGAAGCATGTCTCTTCAGAAGAGGGTACAGCTCTTACACCAGCCATAGCAACAGATTCATCCATGTCATTATGTGGCAAAATTTTAAAAAATGTTCTTAAGGTTGCAACATGTCAGGAAAAGGTCAGAAAGAGGTAACATTATGAAAAGCATAGGCATTAATATCAGCAATGCTGCTGCTGCTGACAACTTACAGGCATTAATTAAGTCAGTTTCACTGAGGGATTGATTGATCAATTAATTAATTTGTTAATTTGTACCCAGAGACCTTTGGGTAGAGTGTGTGGCATATAAATTAAAAAAATAAATAAATATTTAGAACAATAATTGTCATGTTATTTGAACTTTTACACAGCAACAATGTTACTGATTTGAACAATGATTCATGTTCCAATTTATTTTAATGTGTTTTTTTGGAGCTTAAGACAGGTTTTTTAAATAATATTTTTGCAATGTTTGATAATTTTAATGGATTTTTTGTAAATGTTTAATTTTAAAGTACCGTAACATTTTACCAGTGTATTACTAATTATTTAAATTAAATATATTAATAATGTTCATTGAAATTATTAATATTAACAATTTGATTTTCAATTTGACAGTAAAGTCACTGCATTAGCATAAGACCAACATTTCCTAGTTCTGGTTCTCCTTTGTGTTGTTCAGCTCCCTGCATTACAACCAAGGGATTAAAGGTTTAAACCAATTAGTTATTGAAAAAGAAACCAATGGGGATATCACTAGTCAATCAGCATCAAGTCATCAATTGATAATCATCTTTATCAGAACAAATCACCAATAGATTTGGCTTGTGGACATTATTCCTTTTTTATTATATTATTTTCCTGGTTTTGAGTTTTTCCATTGTTAAACTTTACTTAACTTATTGTGCTTTTAGAGACTGGTTGTGTCATTCTCAGCCACATTGGACTGCTTAGTCTCAAAAGCAGTTACTGAGGCCACTTAAATAAATATTTTTTTGCAAATAGTACTTTTTGCGAATAGTAATAGCGCTTTTTGAAACAATTTTTTCTCCTTCCTTAAAGGGCTGCACATTTCTTTGCGTCTTTGGCCTTCCCGGGGATAAGCAAGCCGATGAGAGCACAAATGCCCTTGACAGTGCCCATGAAATCCATGCTTTCTGTTCTACATCACTCATGAAAGTGAAGTAAGTGAGAATGGTTTGCCAATTGTATGTGTTTGATGGTGTTATTTACTTGTGCCCAAGGTCAAACTTCTGTAACCAAAACTTACATCTGGAGTTCAAAAGAAGAAAGGGATCATAATGCAAACAAACCAAACATAACATTTGGATTGTAGTTCAATGAAATACCGGAGGTCCCATTTGTGAATGGAAGCTACAGATAGACTGTACCACTCAGTGTGGCAAAAGGCAGGGTCACTGGGGCCTGAGAGACTGGGAGAAGGACCTCCTGCAAGATCTTTAAAAATCAGGTGGACTTAGGTATCATCAGCACACTGGTGGTACCAGACCACAACATTCTGGGCAGCCTCTTTCAGGTTTTTCATGGTGTATGTGAGATAGTATGGGGAATCATGGAACCCTGAGACACTCCACAGCCTAATGGTCAAGGTGCTGAACAGGAGTCCCCCAGCACCACTACCATTCACAAAGTGACACCACTCAAGGGAAAATCCCCAAAGCTGACTCCCTTTTTGATCAGTTAACTACTCCTCACTCAGACACAAAGCAATTCTCAGGGCTGTTTTTCAACACGTGTGAATGGCAGTGAGGAGAAGAGAGTATCCTGTAGACCAGCTTGACGGCTGCCACTGGTGTTGTCAACATTCAGGCTGCCCTTTGCTATGTACAGCTTTGGCATCCTTTTTCCTGCTGGCAATATAGGCATGATATTATGCAATATGGGGCCATTTCCTGGCTTCTTGAATCATGGACCACTGGTGTTTTCAACATTCAGGCTGCCCTTTGCTATGTACAGCTTTGGCATCCTTTTTCCTGCTGGCAATATAGGCATGATATTATGCAATATGGGGCCATTTCCTGGCTTCTTGAATCATGGGATGCAATTTGGTGCCATTTCCTGGCTTTTTGAATCATGGGCACAGAAGCACAATATCCCACATTCATAAACTGGAGTTTTTTTTGAAGAGTTTAATTTCTATACAAAATAACCATGTTGAATGATTGTGAAATACCACTGTTTCAAACATGACTGCCCCTGCAGTGCAGTATGTGAGAACAATTTGAACAGTGTGTCTTATTGCTCTTAAACTCTTCCTACAGGAAAAATAATAATTTTTTAAGAAGGAGTACAAAGCTATCGGGAAATTTCAGGGGACTGCCAATAATTTACCAAATATATTTTTAAATATACACCAGCCATGCTTCAACATTTGCTTTCCATTTGGAACAGTATGGAATAATTACCAGGAAGGTTGTTCTGTCTTCTGAGCTAGCAAGAAAGTGAACAGAAATTTTTGGGTCTCCTATTTTAAAAACTTGGAAAGCATTAGATTGCAATGAGCATTCTTTACAGCAAGCACACAGCGAGCTGCATTATCTTTAAGAAAAGGTAGTATTTTGGCTCCAGTATGCTTCTGCCTAGATATTTAGGAGAACAAACAGGAATGTGGAAGCTATCCACCATACCAATACTATGTGGGAACTCAGTTTCCAGAAATAGTAAGTAATACCAAACAGTGGTACAAGCTGACAAAGTGATATATCACTACAGCAACACAGATATAAATGTGAACATGTTCTTTGTTGTTCTTTGGCGAATAGTTCTTGATACATATATCTCAATTCTTCTGTCATTAAAGAAGGTTGAGTAAATGCTTCCAACGGTGCTACCCAGATCGGGATTTTTTTAAAATACATTTGCTCCTGGAACCTTTGCCACACCTGGTATAATGCTTTCCTTACCATATGATTGAAAAAAGTTATTTAATCTTTACCCTTGCTATACCAAATATATGCATGGCATCCTAATCTTTGGTCATGTCCTTCTAATTTTAAAAGTCTTTGGTCTTCCAATGTAATCCATTCCTTTATCCAGTTCAATGCCGAACCCTTATAGTATAGTAAACCATTTGGTAAGCCCATGTGATACGTTTTTCTGCTGCTCCCACTGCTTGAGTGAAATCATCTATCTTCTGAGTATTTTTTCAATTTCCATTTTAAGACTTAAAGACACACACACTTAGTGTTGGAATAGGGATAGACTGAAAGAATTTAGAAGATTGAATATATACATATAAAGTCAATCTTCTAATTTCTTTCAGTCTATCCCTATTCCAACACTAATCTTCTCGGGCATTTAATATTTATTGTATAGAGACACAGGAAGGCTAGAGGTGAAGAAATAATTTCTTTCATTTCTGGGGGTCTGCAAACCAGAGATTACAGAGGTTTTTCCCAGAGCCCTGGGTTTCCCCTGCTCTTGCTGCTGTCACTCCACCCCCTCAGATCACCTACATTTATGATCACCATGTATGGGTGTGAAAGCTGGACAGTTAAGGAACCTGACAAGAAAAAAATTGATTCATTTGAAATGTGGTGCTGGAGGAGAGCTTTGCAGCTACCCTGGACTGCCAGAAAGGCAAACAAGTGGGCCTTAGAGCAAATCAGCCTGAACTATCTCTGCAGGCAAAAATGTTGAAGCTGAGGCTTCAACATTTGGTGTTGATATCTTCAACACACACACCAAAAAATAATAATAATAATTTGGGCACATCATGAGAAGGCAAGATTCTCTGGAAAAAACAATAATGCTGGGAAAGGTGGAAGGCAACAGAAAAAGAGAAAGACCAACTATCAGATGATTGACTCCCCCAAAGAACCCACAGTCTTGAGTTTAGAAGAGCTGAGCAGGGCAGTTGTGGACAGAGCATTTTGGAGATTGCTCATTCACAGGGTTGCTGCAAGTCAGAGGTGACTTGACAATACATAACAACAGCAATTCTCATGTCAGGTTCTAAGGCTCCCTAGGAACTCCTTTTAATCTGTGGAAGTCTTTGGGAGTCTCAGAATGGGGTGGAGAAATATTTAGTGCCTGAAAATGTCCACCACCAGTAGGACTTAGGTGCAATGATTTCCAGGCATTAAACGAAGGCCCCCATTGGGGACAGAACACTTAAAACTAAAGATCAGTGGCCATGTTTGTTAATGTCATCAGCTTTTAGATGTGTGTGGAGTTCATAGATCATTGTTTTTCTCTCAAATACCAGGTGTTTCTTTGGCTTGTATACTGACCTGTAAGAAACACTGCCAAAACACAAAGCAAAAGGTCTCAACAAAGAATAATATTCTTCCTGTCAGGAAATCATCGGAACACACAGGCACAAAAACTAGGAAATCTGGACCCTATGCTACTCTGCAGGCAAATACACCAGTCTGGTGTGATATAGTTCAGCTTCTGCAAAACTGGTAGATTTAAACTTCAATGAAAACTGTAGGATCATTCCTGAATACCTGAAGCCAACCCCTATTGGTGAAATCTATTACCTAGCAGGCATTGCACCCAGTGACATGCTAAGAGACTTAGGAGCTCACAGTGAAAGATTCAAGACATGCCAGTCCCAGATTAAAATTAAAAAGTGTATTTTTTTAAAAAAAATATCTGTGAATCTTGAGGGAATAGTAAAGAATGCCAGGACTATAATTTGAAAAGAAAGAACTACATACTTCTTAAAATGACTTTCCTGCGCAAGTCTAGCCCCTGTCCCTATGGAGAACTGGTGTACTTGGAAGTCATTTAGACTGGAGTTGGCAGAGCCAAAGTAAACCTAAGAAAATGGGGGGTTTGCGCTGCCACAGTTCTTATTGAGTGCAGGGGAAAACAGGCAACTTCACCCCCATGTCAGTGTATTCTATACTCCTCAATTGATACTATGTAGGATTTGATGCTAGCTGCCTCAAATGCTCTTGATATTGTCCATTACTAGACAAAACCAACAAACTACTGATGCATTTATTAATTGTGCTGTGATGCTTCTGACATGAACAGAGAAAGAAGGCTATTCTCTTGCATGAGCAATGTCCTCCAATGCTTTTCACGTGCTTTCAGTCTTCAAAGCAAAAAGAATGCCTTGAAACTCAGAGAGCAGGGAAATGAGCTGGGAACATTCTCAGGATGTGCAAATCAGTGCATAGTACAATATTCTGGGGCTTGTGTTAAATAATAACTGTTCACAGCAGTTCCATTTGTATAGGTGTAAGTTATGTTCACTGAGTGTTACCTCATGGTTGAGAGGAACAATTCAAACTTTATTTTGGATTACTAACTTTCTGTCCTTCTTGTTGTGTTTTAGGATTGTCTCTATTGGGATCACCAGCGGATCAGTTTTTTGTGGAGTAGTTGGTCATTGTGAGAGACATGAATACACAGGTACAATTAGAATAGTCTTTTGAGCCTTTCTCTTGCCTAGGGCCAATTCGAGGAATGTTGGTACAATAAACAAAATATTTGTCACCTCACTCCAACACAGCCTGGTAGGTAGTACTTCCTTCACAGCCTCCTTCATCTTTTCGTTTCTGTTTCTGCATTGGGTAAAATTTTTGTCCTATGAGTGGAGTCTTCTTTCTTTCTTTGTGCAAAGTACATGTGTAAAACCTTGGAAAACCCCAGGATATGGAGAGGTATAAACCTTCCTACAGTACCTATTTCTCTATTTTAAACATGTCCCCATGTATGGGTTTACCTAAAATAAAGGGGAAAATTTCTCACCTTAACACCACATGTGCTGGGTGGGGACACAAGTAAAAAAATCTGGTAATGTAGGTTAAATTTTTACTTACCCACACATAGGGGTCCTGGTCAGGCCAACAAATCTGAGGGAGCCATCAAATATTAATTTAGATCCATTTAGTAAATTGATTAGGAAATACTCTAATGCTATTAAATTAGCTAAGAATATCTTCAACATCAGAAAAATTAATGAGGCAGTTAACCGGCAGGTGGAGCTCTATTGAGTGAATCGTTCCCATTGATCCTGATCAGAAAAGACCTCAATTTGACAATTTTATGTATGAAAACTTTGCAGTTTTCTTTAGATCTAAAACTGAGGTTATCTGATAGAATCTAGATTCCTTCAAACTGTCTGAGACTGCCAATGCATTGCCCCTCAGGTTTGCTTGCATCAGTTTCAGTCTGTAACATCAGAAGATATGATCAGGGCACTGATACCCATCACTGATATCCCCTTAATGGCCAAGCTGATCAAACAGGTGGTGGCAGACCAGCTCCAGATGTTCCTAGAAGAGGAAGATTTCTATTTCAGGCCAAGCTCAGGCTGTGCTATGTTATCGAGACAGCATTGGCTGCACTGCAAGATGATGTGTTAACGGGGGAGGAATGACCCTGATGGCCTTGATATCTCAGTAGCCTTTGATACTGTTGATTACGGTATCCTCCAGGGCAGGCTGTCAGGTGCAGGGGTTGGAGGATTGGCTTTAAGCAGATTCCAATCTTTTCTGAACAGCTGGATCCACAGAGTTCAGTTTGGAGATGAATTGTCAAACCCCTTGATCTAAATTGTGGAGTACCATTTATTTCCCCAGTGCTTGTAAATGTCTATGTAAGGCGACTGGAAGAGGTCATGTGGAGATTTGGGGTGCATTTTCATCAGTATGCTGATGATATGCAACTCTATCTCTCCTTTACATCTTCTGCAGTGGATGCTGTCCAGGTGCTGGAGCACTGGTTGACCTCGATTGTGGAATGGATGAAGGATAATAGGCTGAAAATGAATCTTGAAAAGACTGACTCAGAGTGATTGCCCAGTTATGCTCTTACCTAGATGGAGAGTCCCTGACAACATTAGCCCATGCACTGATGATCTCTAAGACTGCTGACTGTAACACTCTCTGTGTGGGACTACCCTTGAGACTAACCTGGAGACTACAGTGGGTGTAGAGTCTTGTAGCTAGACTGGTGTCAGGTATGAACAAGTTTGATCACATGTTCCCAGTTCTGATCTGCCTGCACTGGCTTCCGGTACAAGGTACTAATTAGTGTATAAAACCCTACATGGTTTGGGGCCCCATTATTTGTTGGGGCATCTCTCCCTCAGAGCATCAGTCCATAGCACCCATTCTTCACAGTCCTTTCATCTCCAGGTTGTCATGCCAAGAGGGGCAAAGAGGACGGTCATCAGAAATTGTGCTTTTTTGGTAGTGGCCCCTTCCTTATGGAATGGGCTCCTGGTAGAAGTTCATCAGATATCCTTCCTCCTGTTTTTTAAGAGGATGTTAGACTGTCTTTTCAAAAGGTGCTCAAGGACATCCTAGTCTAAGTTCATTTTGTATGTGTTCCCTGTTTCATGATCATTTGGGCTTTTTTATTTATTGTCTTAATTATTTAGAGGTGTTTAACATCGGTATATGGTATGGAAGGTTTTGTTCTGTTATCTTACTGTAAATTGATTAGAGTAGTTCTTTGCACTAAGTTGGTGTTATCAAAATGCATCAAACAAAAGCTATAAATGGGAATAAGAATAACGTTGTGGTTTGGGACAAATCCAATAAATATGTTACACACACCTATTAGATGTGGGAATTTTGTAAGTGTTGACAGTGTGTGAATGTTATAGTTAGGCATGGGATATCTGTAATTTTTGGACTATAGTTTCCATAAGTCAGCAGGAATTCCCTGAACCAGAATTCTGGGGGCTTTAGCTAAAAATTAAAATCCTCTTGTGTGTTTTGTATCATTTTAAAGGCTTCAACAGACATGATGAATCTTCATGAAGATGGAGGAAGTGGCTAAGAGGGGCTAAGTACTATGGGAGGTGCAAGGCATAGGGTCTGGTAGTCTCCCTACCCAAGGCCTTCAAGTTCCTGCAGAACTTAGACCTTCCCAGCTTTTCCCATCTTCATGAAGATTCATCATTTTATTATTCAATACATCTGGGATGACTTTAAATTTTTGGCTAAAGCCCCCATAATTCTTAGCTGGAAGATTTGCGAAGACTTTTGGGGTCTATAATAAAAAAAATACAAAAGTCCCATGTTAAAAAAAGAGATCAAATAGGAGCATTCCTCGTATTCTATAAAATTAGATTCCTTTGTTTTGCGATTTGTTCTCTTACACATTCTTTCTGTGTAAGTCTGATTTCTCAGACACAAAAAAGAGAAATCAGAGGCATGCTCAGAGGCAGTGTCAGGCTCCTGGTAAGGAAGCCAGACCCACTGCCTCTGCACATGTGCTTGACTCTCAGCTAGTGGCAGACATATGCTAAGAGGCAGTGCTCAGCTCTGGAAAGCCAGGTCACTGCCTTTGAGCATGCACCCACTGACCATCTGAGAGTTGAGGACATGTATAGAGGCAGCAGGAGCCTGCCATTACCTCTGTACAGCTGGATGATGTGCGCATGTTCAGAGGTGGCAGCCAACTCCTGGCAGGGAAGCCAAATACTGCCTCTGCACATGCACCTTCCTCTTAGCTGGGTGATGGGCGCATGCTCAGAAGCAATGGCTTAGCTTCCCAAAGCCAGCCGCTGCCTCTGAGTAGGTACAAGCCACCCAGCTGATAGGAAGCCACATGCACCAAGGCAGCTCCTGGCTCCTGGCAGGGAAGCCACAATCACTGCCTCTAAGGATGGTAGCTGCGGGAAGGGGGTGGGTGGGCATCCCTTTTTGCCGAAGCAAACAAAATGGCAAAAGGAAAACAGTTCAGCGTTCCATTTTGCTTTGGTAAAACAGTATCTCCAAACTGGTTCAGCAAACAAACCATGAACTAGCCTGGTCTGTCAGGGTTTTTTGGTTCATGGCTCGTTTTATACTCATCTCCAGTTGTAGGATTGTTCCTGATTATATGTATTAATGACCAACTGGAAGAAGAAAGTGCACATCCTTGAGCGGATAGGTTTGACATAATCTGCTTTGCTCCTCTTCTCACAATAACAGTAATTGGCCAGAAAGTCAACCTTGCTGCCCGGATGATGATGTGTTATCCAGGCCTAGTGACTTGTGATTCAGTCACCTATGCCAACTCAAAACTGCCACATTATTTCTTTGAGGAGCTCCCATTAATTGAAATGAAAGGCGTTCTGAACCCTGGAGCAGTTTATCAATACCTTGGCATCACAGAGAAAACGTAAGTCTGATGTTCATCTGCATCTGCGTAAAAAAGACTGTTAGGATGTGTGCTCCCAAGAATGTCTGAAGCCCTGGTGTGGGCTCTTCCTCTTCCAATATACTTCATTTCTCCAGTTCCAGCTCTCAGCAAATGGGGTACATGGATTCTTGTTCTGTGAAGAACCAAATGCAGGTACTTCCAGATGCTTTTGTCAAAAGACTCCAGATAGGCTTTGCTGATTTCCTTTATAAATTATCCTTCAAAAGTCAAATGGATCTATGCAACACTTTGGGGCTTATTGTTGTTGTTATGTATCCTCAAGTTGCTACTCTACTCTAGCGCAACTACTGTAGTGCAACTTACTACACTAAGCAATATGATTTCAGATAGTGAGTTTCCACGGCTGAGTGGGGTTTCAAGCCAACCTCTCCTGAGACTTGTGGCTCACATGTATCAAAATTCCACATAGCCTTTTAATTCCATTTCCTCCCATATGTCTCTTAGTATTCAGTGATCTGACTAAAGGCTTCCCAAGCCAGTTCTGTGATAGGCAGTACCAGTATGACAATCTCTGCAAGAGGGACTATGATATCTCTGTTTGTCAAGACCTATTGTGAACTCAGAACAGATTAACTAATGGCATCAAGAGAATTTGTATAGTAACTGATTTTACATTTTTACTATATGTAACAGATAAAATATAAACAGATTTTGAAAAAACAAAAACAAGCGCAGAGCTGGCAGAGTTCTCAATCTCATAGAGCTGAATCTGAAATATAATCTGATAATTCTTAGCATTAGATGTGAATTTCCTTATCCCCAGTTCCTCCAGAACACGTGAACATATGCCTCAGTATTTCTGTCACTTGAAAAATTGCATTTTATAAAACTTTTGGAGATGATCCAAAATTGATATTAATTTAAGCAAGTTGCACACATTAAGATGTATTGTAATATTGTGAGCCATCCTGACTTTCCTAGGAACAGAGTTCCATTATCAAGGTGCTGCTGCAGAGAAAGCTCTATCTGAGGTACTCATCACCCTTGCTTCTTGCGATGCTGTGACACACAACAAAGTCTTTACTGAAGGTCTGTGATTCCAGGCAGGGTCGTATGGCAGGAAGTAGTTTTTCAGATATCATGGCCCCAAGTAGTAATTTAGGGTTTTGTACATAAAAAAAAAAACAAAAAACAACAAAAAACAACAAAAAAACCTTGAATTAATTTGAGAAATAAATTGGAAGCACATACAGCTGGTTTGAGACTAGTACTATGTGGTCTATACAGTGCACATCAGTCTGGTTGCTGCATTTTGCAACAGATGTAGGTTACAAAGAGTTTTCAAAGGCAGCCTCACATAGGGTGGATTGCAGTAATGAACTAAGCAGTCATGAAGTAATTAAGATGTGATCACATTAATCTTTCCTTGGAAAGGGCACAGAGAGTATAGTAGCTGAAGCCAAACAAAGGCACATGAGGACACAGTGGCAACCTGGCCTTTGCGGAAGATGTGAATATGGTCTTTCAGAGGTAATGCAGGCCGAAGTAGAAATGGCTGTGATCCCAATCTGCTTGTCTTTCTGTTAGCCAACAAAACCTCTGTCTTATTTGCCCACATGCAGTCTTCAGTGTGTCTGTGCAGGGTTTCAGGATTTCTACAGGTGTAAGTAGCATATTTGACTTGCAGAATCTCCTGTGAAAATCAGATGTTCTTTTCTTGTTTCCATCCCTTCTCCCCCTCCCCCAGAATGATTTACAAATCATACCTGACCAGGGAAAGATCTGAACATTATCCTTTGTTAGGTAGGTGACTTGATTCCTAGTGTCCTAAGACAATAGCTGATTACCTGTATGAGAGATTTCCTTATACAGTGGTGCCTCGCATTACGACGTTAATTCATTCCAGCAAAATCGCTGTAGAACAAAAATGTCATAATGGGAAAATAAAAAGCCCATTGAAACACACTGAAACCCCTTCAGTGCGTTCCAATGGGCTGGAAACTCACCATCCAGCGAAGATCTTCCATAGGGCGGCCATTTTCGGTGTCTGTGCAGCGAGGAATCCGTCCCAGAAAACAGCAGGGAGCCAATTTATTTACCCGGTGGCCATTTTGATACCACCGATCAGTTGGAGGAAAATCATCGTTTTCCGAAGAATCGGTTCCCGAAGCAGGGAACCGATCATTGCAAAGTGAAAAAACCCCATTCAGACCATCGTTCTGCGATTGCAATTGCGGGGCAATCGTAAAGCGAGGCACCACTGTATCTGGTTAGTTCTTGCCTTTCTTTCGTGTTTTGCCTATATGGCAGCTATTGCAATTGCTGCATTAAACTGGAAGCATGGGTCACTAGTGAGATAACTGCAAGACATGAATAATATAAAACTTTTTAAAAAATCTTTTGCTAATTTTGGTTTTGCCACTTATGTAGATCCTGACACAGTCCTCAAATATCACTCACAGTGTAAAGCTGTACTGTTTCTTAAAAAGTCACCCCCAGAACCTGGGAGTTCAGTCCATCCCTGTGCATCCCAGAAAAGCCAGTCTGTATGGCCTTGCGCAAGCTGGACAATCCCAGGATGCCCCCCAAAGAAGGGAACAATAAACTACTTATGAGTCACTCTGCTTCGGAAACCCTGAAAAGGGTTACCATAAGCCTGACTTGATGGCATACAATTATGATTATGATTATATTTTAATGGCATAATTCAGATGAATTTAGGCAGCTCAAGCATTTTGAAAATGTTCTCACTAGAATTAGTATGGCCTGACATGGCATATATGTTGTCTTGACTGTAAAAGATAATGGTCTTTTTTATCTGACAGCATTTGATAGTCAATAAAAATGTAAGAGGTATCAGCAGATCTCATTTTGAATGTTGAGGCAAAAAAATCTGAATATAAATACAGCACTTCTCATTTAAAACTTGACTTGTTGCTTTATGTTATACTTTTAAAGCCACTTCGTTTGGATTTCCTGTTTTTCCCCAGGTCGCAAGAAAGAAACTGATGTCTTTGAGAATTTATTGAATGATTTTAAAGTCTCCCAAAAAAGCCATATCATGGTGTATGAAGGCCCCATGGGATATGGAAAAAGTCAGCTGATGGCTGAAGTTGCCTACTTAGGGCAAGGTGCTGGTCAAAAGTCAGTGCTTTTAATTTTGTTGTATATTTCTAAATCTCCTGTATTAGCTTATCCACATGCTGCATTTGTTTAAATTTCCTTGTGTGACCAGCCCACCTGGCTAATTACTTTTCCAACTCTGTAGTCTTTTTGCTGGGCTATCCTTAAGCCCAAACCACAAGAGCCAAACTGATTCAATTGGAAAAGAAACAATAATGTATTTTAATTTATGAAGTATAATGGTTATGTGGCACAATTCTTAGTCAAGCAGTTTCCTGTATTATGAAGAATCTACTTTCTAACTATAACAAACTAGTTCTTAACAATATAACTATGAAAGACAATTCTCTTTTGGAAACCCACACTACTATGCTGGTAAACTATGTATTAACCTCACTCCAGCCCTCTGACTATTAACTCTCTTCACTCAGAATTCTCCTCTCAGACTCCTCTTTTTCTTCCCTGAACCCACCTGGTAAGTCATGGTTGGCTCAGCCCCAGTTTGAAACTCAACAAAACTTGGCTTCCAGCTCTGAAAAATGCAGTGTGCAAAAGGTCAATGATCTCTACGCAGCCACAAGGACCGGGGATCACTACACACAAAAGACTGGCTAATGACACCCATCAATCACAGTGACAGATAATCTCTCCTCCTTATCATAACAATACACCCACAACAAGACACACTAATCACCCATCTCCTGAATAGGACAAAAGCCTATCTCGCAGCCATAAATACTCCACTCCCAAGCAAACTACACCAGAGCACAGAGTGCTGTCCTCTGAAGATGCCAGCCACAGAGACTGGCGAAACATTAGGAAGAACAACCTTCAGAACACGGCCAAAGAGCCCAAAAAACCCACAACAACCAATACATTACTTACATTAATATGAATTACATTACATCACTTTTACATTAATAAGGATTCTCACCATTATTTTTTTTCCATCTCTATACACACCTCTCAGTTCATCAACATCCAAGTAAACTGCACTTTAAGCATATTCCATAACTATTACACAAACAGAATAGTTAATACAATATTACAAACTTTTCTCCACCCATTAGTCATTTGGCCTTCAAGACAAGGCGTCAGCAACCACATTCTGTGTCCCTTTTATGCAGCGGATTTCAAAGTCAAAGTCTTGCAGAATCAGCACCCATTTCACCAATTTGCTGCTGTTGGCGTGAATAGACTTTAGTCATAGAAGAGGAGAGTGATCGGTGCACAGGACAAATCTTCTCCCCCAAATGTACGTCTTCAGCTTTTGCAGTGTCTATACGATAGCCAGATACTCTTTCTCTATGATGTTTAACTGTCTCTCACCAGATTAGAGTTTCTTGCTGATAAAAGACACTGGGTGTAGATTCCCACTGTCATATGCCTGGCACAGCACAGCTTCCAGTCCCACGTTCAATGCATCCATGTATATGATGAACTCATGGTCGAAGTCCAGTGCAATAAGGACAGATCCTGAAGTCTGTGACCGCTTCAGACGATCGAAGGCTACTTGGCACTCTGATGTCCACTGGATGTCCTCAGCTCAGCTCTTTCGGGTGAAGCCTGTTTTCTTTTTGATTAGTGACTTCATTTTCTCAACTGTGGGAAGGGCAGGCAGTTTCTTTAACTCTTCCAGAACAGCTATGGCTGCGTTCTTTAAAAACTTCTTGCTCTTGCCTTCACCCTCACTCATAAACTCACACACAAGTACTTTTGTCACAAAGTTCTTCATATGAGGGGGACCACTTTCCCAGGTCACCTCAAAATTCACAGGCAAGTTTCTTTTAAGTGCCATCTCAAACACTTAGCTTATTTCAGATTTATTGAGATTTTCATCATCTGGTTTCTCAGGCAGGGGCTCATTTTGCAGGATTTTCAGTGCTTTCACAGCTGCATGTTGAGCCTTCTTTAAGTTTGTTAACAGAGCAGCTTCAGGTAAAGGGGTAAACTTCCACAAATCAGCCACATTGACAACTGCACCACATCCAACAAGTAGTTCAGCCACCTCACAGAGGTGGAACCTCCCCACTGGCATTATTATTGTTATCATTTTGACTAGCTAATTCCAATTTCTTCATCCCTATTTGGAATTGCATTTCCCTTTCTCTAAATTCTAGTTCCCTTTTTCTTTCAAGTTCTCTGTTCTTTTTCAATTCTAATTGGTTTTTCATAGATAGCTCCTTCTTCAGTTCAAATTCATGCTCTAGTTTCCATTTTTCAAAATCTTGGGAGCTTTGAATATTTTCTTCCTCAGAGGCACTCAATACAGGTCCCTCAGTTTCATTATCTCTTTGAATCTGAGGGTTCCCATTTTCCTCAGCACTCTGGAACTCACCTGTACTTCCATTACTAATTTGGGTGGAATAAACAATACGATTTCTAATTAACTTGGACTAGTTCTTTTCCCTCACAAAAGCAGAAACCCTTTTTCTCTCTTGCAGTGGCTTTCCTTGTAACTAGGTTATGCTTTTCCAAGCAACTTGCCTCAGCTACTCCCAAGCTCACAACCCTTGTCACAATATTTCCCTGTCTGGGCGATTGTTGTCTCCTGACACCAGAACAACTTTCTGCTTAGCTTTTCTTATAACTTCAGATCTATCCTGACCTAGGCTTCCACTTCATCCACCACTGCTCTTTACCCTCAGAGCTCCGGATTTTGAGCTAGCCACTAGGTCTTGTAAATCCTAAGGTAAAATGATTTCTCTTTAGTAGGTATATTCCTTCTCTTATGATTCCTGTGGGAACATCAGGTAGAGAAGGTGTCAGAAAATGAGGAAGTCAAGATCTTGTGGGATTTCTGTATCCAGACAGATAGATACCTTGAACATAACACACAAGATATAGTAGTAATAAAATGAGGAAATGTCTGGATCATTGACATTGTAATTCCAGGGGATGCCAGAGATGAAAATAAAGAATTGAAAAAGCTAACAAAGTACAGAGAACTGGCAATTGAAACATCTTACTTTTGGAAGAAACACACTTCATTGGTCCCCGTAGTCATTGGGGCTTTGGGAAAAATATCAAGAAACTTCACACAGTAGTATAAGCATTTGCAGATCTCAGAAACCGCACCATCAGAGCTACAAAAAATAGCAATTTCAGGAATAGCACGCATACCGTGCCGATATTTAACAGCTACTTAGGTTTTTGGTTCAAACTTGTATCTGTTATATACCAGTCAATGTTTTCATAATGTTTTTTAATAATAATAATAATAATAATTACTCAATTGAAAATGAGCTACTAAATTATCCCATTCTTTATCAGCTTTTCTAACTTGTTCCCATTTCCTGCCAGCATTCTGCTGTGGGCTCAACTCTTGTAAGCACTGGGGAGTAGTCCTTTAATGAGCTGTATGATGACAAAAGAGAATAACAATGGATGTGAAATAATAAATTGCATCATTAAATTGGAGATGGGTGGGTCATATCATAAGGCAAGTAGATGGGCAATGGAAGAAAAAATACATCAATGGCAATCTTTGTTTGGAAGAAGGAGTAGAAGAAGAATGCAAACTAGATGGATGGAAGATATTAAATGATCAGCAGTAGTAGCATGGGTTATATGCGAGATTACCCTGCTACTACTGTGGAGTGTCCAGATCTGGTCTCATGGTGTACTGGGAACAAAAAAACAGACAGTAGGATTGTCACTGTTTCCTAATAAAACTAGTTCTCCTGTTCTTGTAATCAAACAGGGTTGTGGCAATGGAGCTCACAAAGATAAATGTGTGGCAGAACTTCTTTGCTATCCGGACACTCATGGCTATGGTTCTCGAGATTGATACCTGTAAAACATATTATGCAAGACAGTACATCCTTGCAGGCAAACTCCGTGAAATCATAAAGGAAGAGTATTTATGTCTTCTCAACAACCTATTTCATGTCAAGGTAAAAGTGCAAGCACATGAGAGCTTATTTTCTGAATAAATTTATGATGTTTGATATGAAGAAGATTCCCTATTCATAGTCAACTGGAAAAAGAAATCTCTATGAAATAGAGATGGAAAAAAATACCAGTTAAATTCCTGGTTTCTCATCAGTTTAGGCTATCTGGAAAGGAAAGGACATTTCAGTGAGGAGTTTTAAAGCTTCCTCCAAATTAGGTGAAAGCAACCCATCTACTATTTCAAGTTCTTCAATAATATAGGCATCTTCCTAGTTAGGGCCAATCTATTTCCACAATTGCACAGGTTGCTTATATTGGATTTTTTTTGTGCAAAAACAGGTTGTTTTGTGTAAAAAGATGTTCTTTGGTTTGCACAAAATGTCTTTCTTGCCAAAACAAGAGTTCTGTTGAGAATGCCAGGAAATTGTTTGACATCTTTACTGATAAAGGTGGCAGTTCTTTACCCTTGCCTGCAAGGATGAGACAAGCAAGGATTTACATTCCTGATATGGATGCTTGAAATAGATGAAGGAGACATTGTCCCCAAGGTACACAGATCACTTGAGATGCAGAAGGTTGGCCTCTAGTAGGAACACTGATTGCCTAGTTTCAAAGCCAATTACAGGGTGACGATGGGCTCCCTAACATGCAGCCTGAATGAAGCCGAGGAATTCTTGCTATGGCCTCAGTGTTATTTGTTACCATACGTATTGTGAGCAGATGTGTGAAGGTTTGCCTTGCTAATATAAAAAGTGAAATTTGCTTTCATTTGTTTTCCTGATCAGTTTAATACATCACAAGTGGTTTCCAAAATGAACAATGATGTGAAAAACAAAAAGACAGAACAGATATTTGTAAAGGTTCTAGAGAACGTAAGTGACGTTTTTATCTTGCACACCCTTTTCATTGAGATTTCTATATGAACTGTTATTTTTAAGACTCTTCAGTTTAAGAAAACTGCTTGTCTTTAAGAAATTATTGAAAACCTTTCCCTGCTGAAGATTTTCTTTTAGAGCTTTTTGTTGTTTAAATGCTAACCACTCTGCAACTCACCGTGAGGGACCTGCAGAACACTTTCAGGCACAGTTGCTCTGATCTGCTCTGTCTTGGATACTGTAATCGATAGAGGTTCCATGGATGCAACTTTGGCCCCTCTTGTCCTGTTATGATAGATATGTTTTTGTTGGTGCAGCTACGGCCTTGCCCTTCCTGGCTTACAAAAGTGGCCAGTGGGGGAATGGCTGAGTGCATAAAGGGAGTGGTGAATGCCTCCTTGCAGCAGGGTAGGACTCCAGCATGTTTAAAGGAGGCAGTAATGAGACCATTATTGAAAAGGCCTCCCTGGATCCCCCTTTAATGGACAACTACAGTGGTGCCTTGACTTACGAACGTCCCAACCTACAAACATTTTGAGTTACAAACAGCTCCATTCGCAAAATTTTGCTCTGACTTGCAAACAGAGCTTTGACTTATGAATGGAAAAAAAAATTGTAGGGAAGGCAGGAAATTTGAACTTTAAGTTAACCGTTGGCCAGCGAAAAGGCTGCTTGTCTGCTACCTCATTCACCCCAGTGGTTAGAGTGTGGATATGGAGAGAGACTTCAGATTGCCTGGTTCTGTACTGTATGGACTGGGTTTTGTTTTTTTTTGGCTTTTAAAATTTTTTGGATTTTTGACCTTTTTTAAAACAGAGAGACTGTCTCTTCTGGGTGAGTACACTGTATTTACTGTACAGGGGTTTTGCAGCTTAGGGATGGGCTAGGTGGCTAGGTGGGGATTATGTTTCTGCGCTGGCTGTTGGTTTTAAAATCAGAAAACTGTTTGCAAAGTTCTGTCTGGCTGTTGGCCTCTAAAATGCATTTTAGTCTTTTGGTTGCTTGCTTTAAAATGTGCTGTTGTAAAATGTGTGGGTTTAAAAAGTGTTTGATTTAAAAGGTGTTTTGTTTAAAAAGTGTTTTAGACTCCGAACTCTCTCTCCCCCACACTGTCTACTCTCTCTCTGTCTTCTCTCTTTTTGTGCTTAAAAGCACAAACCTTTGTCTGAGGGGTCTGTGTGCCCCAGTGATGATCTTCTTTCTTTCTTTCCTCTTTTCTCCATTGTTCCCTCCTTTCCTGCCTTTTTTTAACCTAGGTGCATCGAGAAAAATTCTCTCCCTAGTGGTAGAGGATGGATTAACGGTTTTGCATTAGTTCCTATGGGAACTAATGCTTTGACTTACAAACTGTGCCTTGACATAAGAACAAAAATCAGCCAGAACAAATTAATAGGGTTTCAGTGCATTCCTATGGGAAATGTTGATTTGACTTATGAACGTTTTGACTTACTAACAACTTCTGGGATGGATTAAGTTCATATGTCAAGGCACCTCTGTATTGGCCAGTCTCATAGATTCAATTTATGGACAAGACACTGGACTGTGTGGTGGTTTCTTGGTTCCATTTATTCATTTATTTATTTGCCTTTTATACCACCCGTCTGGCTGCCAAGGCCACTCTGGGCGGTTTATACATTAAGCAAATATAACATCAAATAACAATTTATAATAATCATGTTTTGTTTGTTTGTTCAGTCGTTTAGTTGTATCCGACTCTTTGTGACCCCATGGACCAGAGCACGCCAGGCCCTCCTATCCTCCACCGCCTCCCGGAGTTGTGTCAAATTCATGTTGGTTGCTTCGATGACACTGTCCAACCATCTCATCCTCGGTCGTCCCCTTCTACTCTTGCCTTCACACTTTCCCAACATCAAAGTCTTTTCCAAGGAGTCTTCTATTCTCATGAGATGGCCAAAGTACTAGAGCCTCAGCTTCAGGATCTGTCCTTCCAATGAGCACTCGGGGTTGATTTCCTTTAGAATTGATAGGTTTGTTCTCTTTGCAGTCCAGGGAACTCTCAAGAGTCTCCTCCAGCACCACAATTCAAAGGCATCAATTCTTCGGCGGTCAGCTTTCTTTATGGTCCAGCTCTCACTTCCATACATCACGACAGGAAAAACCATAGCTTTGACTATTCGAACTTTTGTTGGCGAGGTGATGTCTCTGCTTTTTAAGATGCTGTCAAGGTTTGTCATTGCTTTCCTCCCAAGAAGCAGGCATCTTTTAATTTC